TCCATCACCTAGGGTGGAGTGCAGTGGTGCGATCATAGCTCATTGCAACCTCTGTTTCCAAGGCTCAAGCGATCCTCTCATCTCAGCCTCCTGAGTAGCGGGGACTACAGGTGCATGCCACCATGTCCAGACTAATTTTGTTTATTTTATTTATTTATAGAGACAGGGTTTCTCTGTGTTCCCGAGTCTGGTCTCCAACTCCTGGGCCCAAGTGATCCACCTGGCCTTGCCTCCCAAAGTGCTGGCTGGGATTATAGGCGTGGGTCACTGCTCCTAGCTAACTCCTTATATCTGTAGTGCTTGTACAGATACGTCAGTTTGAATTTTTTTTTTTTTTTTGAGACAGAGTCTCGCTCTGTTGCCCAGTCTGGAGTGCAGTGGTGCAATCTCGACTCACTGCAAGCTCCGCCTCCTGGGTTCACGCTGTTCTTCTGCTTCAGCCTCCTGAATAGCTGGGACTACAGGCACCTGCCACCAAGCCTGGCTAATTTTTTGTATTTTCAGTAGAGACAGGGTTTCACCGTGTTAGCCAGGATGGTCTCCGTCTCCTGACCTCGTGATCCACCCACCTCGGCCCCCCAAAGTGCTGGGATTACAGGCGTGAGCCACCGCGCCTGTCCTGATTTTTTTTTTTAAATTTCAAGTATAATGAACCATCGTTTGATTTGTATTTATTATCACAGTGAAAACAATTTGTAGTTGTTACTCCTTTCTTTGCACAGAAATTTTCAAACCACTGATCCAAACCCCAAAATAGTTTGCTGAGAAATTCTTTAAAATACTACATAAAGAAGAAATTATTTTGCAATTACTACTTTTCCTACTAATCATGAACAGTTGATGGATGTTGGTGGAAACAAAGATGGGATCCTTATATAGAACATCAGATCGCAGTGGCACGATCTCAGCTCACTGCAACCTACACCTCACTGGCTCAAGCGATTCTTGTGCCTCAGCCTCCTGAGTTGCTGGAAAAAAATCTCAAGTTCTGCTAGAGTTTACTTAGTTTTAGTATAATGTTACAGGCGTGTGCCACAGGCGCATGGCACCACACTGGACTACTTTTTTATATTTTTTGACTGAGACACTGGGTCTTGCCATGTTACCCATGCTGGTCTCAGACTCCTGAGCTCAAGTGCTCTACCTGCCTTGGCCTCCCAAAATATTGGGATTACAGGCATGTCATTACCACATCTGGACCAAGGTTCTTTAGAATTTAACATACCTGTACTGTGGTGTATAGAAGGACAGCTCAGTCTTTTCACTATTTTTGTCTATTAATAGTACCAGCCTTCATTTCTATAGCATGTTGTCATTTGGCTGTTATTTTCTAAAAACAAAATTATAAACTCACATAGAAGCAGGCTACCCAGGAATATTACCCAGAGTCCATTTGAAGAACACTATCTTAGGTTCTTTATTTTTATTCTTCTAAACAGAGGCTGTTTTTAAGAATTTTTATATTTCTTCAAACACAAATAGAATAATTATAGTGAGGCCAGGAGCAGTGGCTCAGGCCTGTAATCCCAGCACTTTGGGAGGCCGAGGCGGGTGGATCACCAGAGGTCAGGAGTTCGAGACCATCCTGGCCAACATGGTGAAACCTCAACTCTACTAAAAATACAAAAATTAGCCGGGCGTGGTGGTGGACGCCTCCCAGTTACTCGGGAGGCTGAGACAGGAGAATCGCTTGAACCCAGGAGGTGGAGGTTGCAGTGAGCCGAGATCACGCCACTGCACTCCAACCTGGGCAACGAAGAGCGAAACTCCATCTTAAAAAAAAAAAGGCACCTGGGCATGATGGCTCACACCTGTAATCCCAGCACTTTGGGAGGCCAATGCAGGTGAATCACAAGGTCAGGAGATTGAGACCATCCTGGCTAACACGGTGAAACCCTCTGTCTACTAAAAAGTACAAAAAAATTAGCCGGATGTGGTGGTGGGCACCTGTAGTCCCAGCTCCTTGGGAGGCTGAGGCAGGAGAATGGCGTGAACCCAGGAGGTGGAGCTTGCAGTGAGCTGAGATCGGGCCACTACATTCCAGCCTGGGCAACAGAGCGAAGACTCCGTCTCAAAAAAAAATAACTAAATGAAAGATTAACTATAGTGTTCTAAATCACACAGTCTTCTTACCTCTCTAGCAATTCCTTGGTGCACCATGATTATTTCAGGAAAGGGTAATTGCTTTAATCTGAATTTCCTTTTTGCGTTTCTCTTATGGTAGATTCAATAGAACGGAGTAATCCATCGAGATATTTTTCTATCTGCTTATGGTAATTGTTTCCTTCGCTGAAAGAATGCTTTGAGAGAGGAAGAGGGAAACATTAAATCCCTCTAATTGAATATAATGATCTTTTTGCCGTTTATATATCATTTGATGTTGGATTTAGAGGGATTAGAGACATTCGGAATTTTAAAAAGTAATAGTGTCCTCAAAAGTTGATTTTACATGTAAGTACAGTAGTACTTATATAAATAATGTGTGTGATAATTTGCACATAAAGAATTTTTTGTGCTTGTTGTGAATTAGGAACTAAAAAGAACTTACTCAGTAGTTGATAACTCAAGAGTACAGAGTAGGATCCAGTTTTTCTAATGACAGGCGACCTCATGATAGACTACTTTTGAGACTTGAAGACTGAAGTGAAAATAAATACGAGCCAGAGCTTAATGCTAATTATAAAACACTAAAAGAATTAGAGAATTACAGTGAAGAATTAGAATGCAATTGCTATTTAAAATGTTTTTCCTTACCAACTTTGAGGAATAATAATGTATGGATAAGAAAGTTTATCCTTTTAAAGTGTGTCATTTGATGAGTTTTGACATTTACACATACCCATGAAGCTCCGTTATAATCAAGATACAGAATGTTTGTATCATCCCCAAAGGTTCCTCTCCCCACTTTGCAGTCCAGTCCGCTTTCTGCTCTGGCCCCAGACAACTACTAATCTGTTCTTTTTCACTATAGTTACATTCTGCATGAATGGAATCATAGTAGGTATGTCTGGCTTCATTCCCTCAAAATGAAGATTTTTGAGATTCATCCGTGTTGTTCAGTATATTGGTAGTTTGCTCCAGTATATGCATTTTTTATTCATTCACCTATTGATACACATTTCTATTTAATACTTTGTGAGGTTCTGAAATTAGATACCAGTGATTAGGAAAAAAAAATCCTTAAAATCTTTTCATTTTTTTTTCTTTCTTTTTTTTTTTTTGAGACAGGATCTTGCTCTGTCACCTAGGCTGGAGTGCAGTGGTGCGATCTCGGCTCACTGCAACCTCAACATCCTGGGCTCAGGCAATCCTCCCACCTCAGTGCCCCAAGTAGCTGGGACTACAGGCATGCACCACCATGCCTGGTTAATTTTTGTATTTTTTTCTAGGGGTCTTGTCATGTTGCCCACGCTAGTCTCGAACTCCTGGACTCAAACGATCCACCTACCTCGCCCTCCCAAAGTGTGCTATGAGCCTCCCAAAGTGTGCTATGAGCCACCGTGCAGGCCAAAATCTCTTAATTCTTTTTTTTTTTTTTTTTTTGGAGACTGAGTCTCACTCTGTTGCCCAGGCTGGAGTGCAGTGGCGTGACCTCGGCTCACTGCAACATCTGACTCCCTGATTCAAGTGATGCTCCTGCCTCAGCCTCCCTAGTAGCTGGAATTACAAGCATACACCACCACGCCCAGCTAGTTTTTGTATTTTTGGTAGAGGCGGGGTTTCACCACGTTGGCCAGGATGGTCTCCATCTCCTGACCTCGTGATCCACCTGCCTCGGCCTCCCAAACTGCTGGGATTACAGGCGTGAGCCACCACACCCAGCCTAAAATCTGTTAATTCTTAATAGAAAATGTTATGTTATGGCTTGTGAGCGAAAAATAAAGACTCTTTCTTGCTATCTTATTTTATGGATGATTTTTCTTTTTCTTTTCTTAAGGAGCTTGGATGTCCCTTGATTCCAAGTAAATAAGACACATTTTGTTGGCTCATCTTTTAACCTAGATGCTTAGTATGGCATGAAGTACTATTCAGGAAGCTTTGACAGAGTATTAATTTTTTTAAAACTTATTCAATGATAACGAAATTTGAAAGATTTATAGTAATAATCTAACAGTGGTTTTCAGACTTGTGTACCTCAGTAAAAAAAATTTTGAGTGTGTATTACCAAGATAAATAGTTGTTTATAAATTCTGCATATCTTTTACTTTATTAATGTAATATGTACAGTATAAAATAAGACCAAAGTAGATATTTAAAAGGATGAGATAAAAGGTAATTATAAATAAATTGTTCTTTCTGCGCATCTAATGGATTGTCTTATGCATTACCTGACTCGGAAACCAGATGTATAGTATTGCCTATTCAAACAGTTAAAAACTACACCAGTAGATGGCATATTTTGACTTTTCATTCTACATAAATGTGTAATTTATGTGAACTAGAGGAAGATAATTATTTATATATAGTATAAAAATACCTTATAGTAAAGAAAGAAAGACAATTTTTAAATATTTTTTCCTAATCTCGTCCCATGAAATTTTTATTTTTTGTTTTTTACAAAAAAAATTTATATCTCAACCCTATTAACTGACCCATGAAATTTTCGTACTACAAATACACTATGTATCTCTGTGTATATATAATGTGACGCTTTCAAGGACCACCAACAATTGTGATATCCAAGTTCATTTTTTATCCCTCAAGATCCAGTTTTTGTCTATTTGGAGTGTATCACCCTATTTAGAACACATGCTTTAGGGTGTAATTGTGTTTTTTCACCTATTACTTGACCTTTCTAATCTCATTTTTTTAAGTGACTAATAAATTAGTATTCATTCTGTTTGTCTGTAGCTACTGATGTCCATATCAGTAGCAGGGGGAGGTTGTAGGAAGCTTGTCTAACATTATGAAATGTACTGGAGGTAGTTCATAAGAGACAGGCTCTTCATGGGTCATTCACTTGTCCATAACATGACGTTTTGTTTCTGCATTTTCCACAGGATGCTATTCTGAAATACAATGTGGCGTATTCTAAGAAATGGGACTTTACAGCTTTGATCGATTTCTGGGATAAGGTAAAAGTATCCTTATTTCTTTATGAAAATATTATTGACTACTCTATAAGAAGGTTTGAGAAGAATACCCATAATTCAGCCACACTAAGATAATTATCATCTTTTAGTTTTATAAATTTGCTGTTATATATATGTCTTAGATAAATATAATTAGGAGTTAATATTGAATTTTGTTTTAGTCTCTTAGAATACACATTTTCTGTTATATTTTCATACCATTATCAGCATTATCAAGGAATGTATAACAGTCCATGCTTAGATTTTGAGAATATAATGGTTCCCATATTCTCAAACATATAGGTTGCATCCAGTTTCACCCCCAATTACATTGTGACAACATCATTATATATGTATATATATTTTCCCATATTTGATATTGTTTCTTTAGGTGATTTCCAGAAGTTACATGACTAAGTCAAAGGGCACAAAACATTTGTTTTAAAATCTTTTAAAAAGTTTTGCCATAAAATCCTTTTTCCACAGATTAATTGTAGCAATTTACTATGCTGCCAGTAGTGGATAGGAATATCACTTTCACAGTACCATTAGCAGAGGGAGTCTTTTCATTTGTCTGTTGGCCATTTGTATATTTTCTTTGGAGAAATAGCTATTCAAATTTTTTGTCTTTATTATTGAATTTTAGGCATTCTTTATATATTTTAGATGCAGATTCTGTACCAGATATATGAGTTTCAAATATTTTCTCCCATTTTTTGGTTTTTTTTCCTTTTTCATTTTCTTGATGGTACACTTTGAAGCTCAAAAATTTTTAATTTTGATGAAGTCTAGTTTATTTTTTTCTTCTGTTTTCAGGATCATATTTAAGAAGCTAATCTAAGATCATGAAGATTTATGTTTCTTCTAAGAATTTTATAGCTTTAGCTCTTACACTATGACCCTTGCCCATTTAATTTTTGTATGTAATGTAAATTAGGGGTCCAATTTTATTATTTTCCATGTGAATATCCATTTTGAGTTAATTTTCATATGTGGTATAAGGTAGGAGTTCAGCTTCATTATTTTGCATGTGGATAACAAGTTGTGCCAGCACCATTTGTTGAAAAGACTCTTCTATCCCCTGTTGAATTGTGTTGGCACCTTTTCAAAATCAGTTGACGTAAGGATTGTTTCTGGCCTCTCAGTTCTACTCCACTGATCTATGTGTCTATCCTTGTGCCAGTACCACACAGTCTTGGTTCCATAGCTTTGTGGTAAGTTTTAAAATCAGGAAGTGTGTGTCCTATAACTTCGTTTTTTTTTTCAAATTTGTTTTGGCTATTTTTGGATTCTTTGCATTTCACTCTGAGTTTTAGGATTAATTTGTTACTTTCTGCAACAAACCTAGGTGCTAAGGGCAATTCTTACATCATGTTAATAGAATCCAAACTAATTCTGCATTTCAAGGTAGTACCAGTAATTTCAGGATTATCTTACTGAGCTTTTGACCTATATGGCTTTTGCAAGGCAGACATAAAGTAAATAATGAAAGCCTTATCCTTGTGTCTGGAAATTGGATATCTCAGATATCCTTGAATCTAAATGTCTTTCACTGTTACAGCAATGTAATATCTGATGCAATGAAAAGTAGATCAAATTGATATAATCGTTATCCTTGTCACTTAAGTTATCAGGACATAACATTTGTGTTGTAACTTTCTGGGCTTAAATTGGATATAGTGGTTAATTGGGGTAAGAAGTAATGTGTAATTTGATACCTTGAGATGGCAGTAAAACATGCCATTGGTTACAATACCTCTGTCACCTTGCTATGGAGTAGTCATTTTTTTCTCTCTTCTTAATCAGAATACTTAGACAGGACCTTGTTTCCCCTTTATCTGGTGACCTTGCCCAGAAGCATGCCTGAAACAGGTAATAGATAGCAAGTTTTGGTGTGTTTAGTGTAGATCATAAATATGAAATGATTACTCAGGTGCTGATGATAGTTTTACAGTTCTTTAGAGAGAAGAGTCCTTGCATTTTCGACCTTCTGATACTTATTTATTTTTTTATGAGATGGAGTCTCATCTGTCACCCAGGCTGGAGTGCAGCGGCACAATCTCAGCTCACTGCAATTTCCGCCTTGCGGGTTCAAGCAATTCTCTTGCCTCAACCTCCCAAGTAGCTGGGATTACAGGTGCCCGCCACGTTGCCCGGCTAATGTTTGTATTTTTAGTAGAGATGGGTTTTCGCCATGTTGGTGAGGCTGGTCCCAAATTCCTGACCTTAAGTGATCCACCCACCTCGGCCTCCCAAAGTGCTGGGATTACAGGTGTCAGCCACTGCTCCCAACCAGACCTTCTGATTTGCATTTACTTTGTAAACATATGGAGGGTTAGAGAAGTCCCTACAACTACACTAAGTATTCATTTCTTATTGTATTCTTTAAGTCTTTGCCATATATATATGATGTCTTATAGCTAGATATAAATGTATGTTTAAAATTTATGCTGTATTATAAAATCTTCTGTGATATATAACTTTATAATGGTTAGCCTTAATGGTTGCAGCAATATTCCATCAAATTGATAAATTGTCTGCTCATCCACTCCTGTGTTTGTTAGAGATTTGAGGAAATTTGTATAAAGCCTATCTAGAGATTTGAAGGTGGTTCTCCCTGTGATTGTTTGCTATTCTGTCATTATTGTATACTTAACAAAATACCTTGGATGTTTAATACACTTGTGTATTTTTCTATCCATCAAATCTCCAGATATTATTCTAGAACTTTACCAAGTCGTGACCCACAGGGACAACATTGCCCATGCTTGCAGTGGTTAGTGAGAAGTAAGTGTCAGACATATATGTAGGTGGGATTGGTGGAAGCAAAGGTTTTTAGTGCAAGGGAAACAAATAAATTATATTTGATTTGCATTTTCAGTGTCTTGTTCTGCAGTAGGAAGGCTTGTTTATAAAGGGTTCTTTTTTTTTTTTTTTTAATTTAAAGCCAGGCTATAGTGCAGTGGTGCTGTCACAGCTCACTGCAGCCTCAACCTCCCAGGCTATATACATCCTCCCACTTTAGCCTCCCGTGTAGCTGGGACTACAGGCATATGCTACCACACCTGGCTAGTTTTTTGTATTTTTTTGTAGAGACAGATTTTTCACCACCGTTACTTAGATTGTTACCCAAAATTGTCTTTATACAGATTTCTGTAGAGATGATTTTTCACCATTGTTACCCAGGCTGGTCTTGAACTCTTGGACTCAAGCAATCTTCGTTCCTCAGCCTCCCAAAGTGCTGGGATTATAGGCATGAGCCACTCTGCCTGGCCTATAAAGGGTTCTTTTTTTTTTTTTTTTGAGATGGATTCTAGCTCTGTCACCAGACTGGAATGCAGTGGCATAATCTCGGCTCACTGCAACTTCCCCCTCCTGGGTTCAAGCCATTCGCCTACCTCAGCCTCCCAAGTAGCTGGGACTACAGATGTGCACCACCATGCCCAGCTAATTTTTTGTATTTTTATTAGAGACGGGGTTTCACCATGTTGGCCATCATGGTCTCAATCTCTTGACCTCATGATCCCCCCTCCTCAGCCTCCCAAAGTGCTGGGATTACAGGCTGAAGCCACCGTACTCGGCCTTAAACTAAGGGTTCTTAAACATTGTTTATTAGCAGGGTTTGGCAATTTTTTTTCAGTTTTTATTTTTTAATTTTTTGTTGTTTTGAGACAGTGTCTCACTCTGTCGCCCAGGCTGGAGTGCAGTGGCACGATCTCGGCTCACTGTAACCTCCACCTCCCAGATTCAAGCAATTCTCGTGCCTCAGCCTCCTGAGTAGCTGGGACTACAGGCACGCACCACCATGCCCGGCTAATTTTTGGATTTTTGGTAGAGACAGGGTTTCACTATATTGGCCAGGCTGGTCTCGAACTCCTGACTTCATGTGATCTGCACACCTCGGCCTCCCAAAGTGTTGGGATTACAGGTGTGAGTGGCTACTCCCAGTCAGAATTTGGAAATTCTTTACTTAAATGTGACATTGAACTCCGAGTGGCTTGTTTTATTAAGGAAAATAATTAAATTTCACATCATATTAAGATTAATATTTTGCAGTTACGTTTATTTTGAGGCCGTTGATATTTATCTCCTTAAAACCTTTCTTTGATTAATTCAGTAAGTAAAGGATTTTGTAACTCAAACTACCTTACAACAAGAGGAGTTTATATCAACAGTCATTGTGAATCCATGGTACTGTAATTACCTACATTCTGGTCTCTAGCACTAGAGGTAAGGGGCCCAGAAGCCCACCCTGGTGTGTGAGCACCTCTACAGGAATGGAAGTAAGGAGTAGTACCTCAGCTTTTGTTATTTTTTTAGAAACCGGCAAAGATCACAGAGAGCAATCTGTTAATTTGTTATTTATATTTATATATTTAGGTGCTACTGAGTCAAAATGGCTGTTATTTAGTATTTTCTGCATCTTCAGGGGTAATATTGGTCTTCCTCACTGCCAGCTGCTGGAAGTGCTACAAACACACAATCTGTGTTTTATGGCCCTCCTGTGTGGTGTTCCACAAAATTAAATTCAAACACTTCTGTAATTTATATTCTAAATGAATCAATATACTTACTCCTGGCATTTTTCACTGGAAAGTTGGACAAAATGTTCTATATGTTAGAAAAGGCCTCTATCAATGCATCTTGGAGGAATTTTTAAATACTTCTCTTTTATTGTTTTTGAGACAGTCTCCCTCTGTCACTCAGGCTGGAGTGGAGTGGCACAATCTCGGCCCACTGCAACTTCTGCATCTCAGGTTTAAGCGACTCTACCCCGTCAGCCTCCTGAGTAGCTGGGATTACAGGCACCTGCCACCACGCCAGGCTAATTTTTGTATTTTTAGTAGAGATAGGGTTTCACCATATTGGTAAAGCTGGTCTCAAACTCCTGACCTCAGGTGATCCACCCACCTTGGCCTCCCAAAGTGCTGGGATTTCAGGCATGAGCCACAGTGCCCAGCCAAATACTCCTCTTTTACAATACCTGTGGCACTGTTTCATTT